ACTGAGGGAGGTGGTGAAGGGGGAGCCCCCAAATTTGGGGGGGTGAGAGGAGAAGGGAAGCCCCCAAATGGGGAGGAGGGGGGTGAAGTGGGAGAGGGGGAACCCCCAAACTGAGGGAGGTGGTGAAGGGGGAGCCCCCAAATAGGGGGAGGAGCCTCCAAAAGGATGGAGGGGGGGGAGGGAGGGGAGCCCCCAAGTGAGGGGGTGGAGGTGGGAGGAGACCCCCAAAATGGGGGGGGTTAAAGGAGAAGGGGAACCCCCAGACGGAGGAGGGGAGGGGGGATCCCCAAAATAAGGAGGGGGGGCGGAGGGAGGGGATCAGACCCCCAAAATGGGGTCCAGGAAGGATTGAGCCCCCAAATGGGGGGGGAGGTTTGGGGTCCCCAAATGAGGGGGTGAAAGGAGAAGGGGAGCCCTCAGCTGGGGGGGGCGAAGGGGGGGAAGGAGGGGGGAACCCCAAAAATGGGGGGCTGGTGGTGAAGGGAGGGGGTTGTCCCCAAAAGGGGGAGTGGAGAAGGTTTAAACCCCAAAATGGGGGTGAAGGGAGAGGGGGAGCCCCCAAATGGGGGTGGAGGTGGAGGGGAGGGGGTGAGACCCCCAAAAGGGGGGTTTAGGAAGGACTGAGCCCCAAAATGGGAAGGGGGGGTAAGGGGAGGGTGTTTTGCCCCAAAATGAGGCCCTGGGGGAGTTATTGAACCCTAAAAACGGGGTTTGAAGGGGGTTGTGGCCTAAAGGAGAGTCTGGGGGGGTGCTGAACCCCAAAATGGGGCTGGGGAGGGTGGATGCCCAAAATGGGGCTGGGGGGGGTCTCAAGCCCAAAACTGGGATGGGGAGACCTCAAAGGAGCCCAAAATGGGGCTGGGGGAGGCGGCCCCAGAGCTCGAGTTGGAGAAGCCCCAAATCCCCCCGAATCTGGGCCCTGGGTCCCCCCACGAGGGCCGGGGGGGGTCCCTGAATCCCCCCCCGTGAGTCTCAAGGACCCCAAAATCCGCCCACGGGGCTGGGGAAGGGCCCCGGGTCACCCCGAAAATGGGGCTGGGGGAGGCCCTGAGTTACCCCAACCCCCCTTCAGTGGGGCCGGGGGGGACAAATCTCTCTAAAATAGGGCCAGGGAGGCCCAAATCCCCCTCAAACAGGAGTGGGGGGCAAATCCCCCTCCAATAAGGCCGGGGGGGCCCAATCACCCCAAAAGGTTGGGGGGGGGCTGAATTCCCCCAAAATGGACCCGGGGGAAGCCCCAAATCCTCTCAGATGGGGCGGGGGGGGCCAAACCTCCCCCTAGATCGGGGCTGGGGGGGCCCAAATGCCCCCGAAACGGGGCTGGGGGGGGCGTCCCCCCCCCTAGAAAAGCGGCGGTGCCCCCAAAGGGCCCGGGGGGTCCCGACCCCCCCTGGGCAGCGGGGCCGGGGGGCGCCGAGAGCCCCCCCCGCGGGGGGTC